GCGCTACGCCACTCAACGTTCACCAGCTGGCTTTGATGATGCGCACAATGCCTCAAGGCATGGGACATCCGCTCGCCTTTGCGATGAACTCGCTCCAGGCGTTCAGTGTCTGTCTCCACGTGCTTCATTCCTACGTATCATGGGTTGATCCAGAAACTGGACACCCGCATTACAGATGGTCCAACGATGTGCTCCCTGATTCCGACTACACCACGTATGCTTTCCTCAAGCACCATGTGGATGCTGTATGTGCAGATCAGGACAGGAACGGCTTCCAATTGCCGGATGCGTTCCGTGGCTACACCTGGAATCAGTGCGGAGTTGAATCTGGGTACGTGGTCGACTGCTCTACCAAACGCGCCACGTTGGGCATATGGGAAGCAGAATTCCAACAGATGGGGGCACCAAGTCCGCTTATGCAAGATGATGGCCTATTTCCGCCCAATCTTCAACGGCATCCTAGCTGGGTATACTCAACGGGGAGAGTTGCGATGCCTACGGCAAGCAACCTCGAACCGGAAGGAATCGTGCACCCTGAGCATGGAAGAACGCCGGGACAATCGCAAGGATCCGCTGCCGAGCCTCGAGCCACCCCTAGCCACGGACCAAAGAGGGCAAGGACGGACGAGGCAACGGCATCGGCGTCGTCATCTTCCGCGGCACCTCCTCCACAACCATCGTCTTCGCAACCGGAAGAGGAACCATCGCAACCGACATGGGAGGAAGCTCCAATCCCCGCTGGCGCTCAGGAAAGTTGGTACCATTATGTCAACATCGATGAAAAGGGCTGTCGCTCGAGCTTGCTGGCGACGACCCGTGATCAAGACGAGTACCCACCTACCATTGATGAGACGCCAAAGTTTGTGGCCAACCACGACGTGGGGACCACACCGATTCAGCATTACGTCAGAAGACTGGTGACCTATTTGGCAAGGATCCGTTCCGTCTCTCAAAGTGATGACAAGGGTCTCAACCTGAAGGTCTACGTGAAGCTGAGTACGAAGGTGTGGTTACGGATGTATTCACGGCTGTACCATGCATTGGCATTGGTGTCGTGCGTGCATCTTCCTTCTCCTCCGATGCTTACCTCGGCAGTGATGATTGAGGCAGACAGCGACCTTGTCGACAACGATGAAATTCCGGAAGAAGCAAGGATCAACACCATGAACACGCTGAACGGATTTCGCAATAGTTTGGGTATGGGTGGCAAGCCTGATGCCGCGACTATGCGCTCTCAATGCACAATCCTCGTCCAAGACTTTGACATGGTCGCAAGGACCAGGGGATCAACGCATACAGTGAGAGAGAACCTCGGCATGCATGGATGGAGTGAGATCTACATTGTGAGCCCGTCGATCACCACAGGTGCCAACTACAACTTCCAAGTCACAAAAGGATCGTTGGAATCTGTGAATGCGACATTGGATGGCTTGACTGAAGAGCAGCTTGCAACCGTCACATTGCATTACCATCTGTCTCTCCAGGCGATCCTCATCGAGAACATATCATTTCCGATGAGTGAGGTCGGAGACGGAGCAGCAATTCGTTCTGACTTGCAGCGACAGCTCAAGGTCACGTACGTTGACCCTATCATTGCGGCAGGGAAGCGTACCACGCGCCCTCCAATTGTCAACATCAATCACGACTTACGGTTCGTAGGAGCAGCCAGCAATTACCTTCGACAGAAAGCTTCTCTGTTCAACGGCTTCCACGCGCTGGGAATGTATATTGAACTGGAGTTGCGAGCCCGAGCATGCGTGGTGATTCATGGATCTTCGTTTTGGTCAAGAATGTACAGCCAGACGAAACATGCGTCATCAGGCGTGCATACACTGTCAGCCGAAAAGGTGCCAGCACCGGACAATCGGGTCAGGTTCAAATTGGGCTTCGCTATCTACGAGAAGCAGCTGTTCTGCGAGAAGATGGTATCCACGTGCTTTGTTGAGGCATCGAAAGTTCGCTCATGGGACGAAACTGTCCGAACCGACTCAGTCGCTCACCCGTCGCTTGTCGAGATTTGGGAGGACAAGAGTGAAGTCAAGACGTCCACCAAGATTTCGCAGACATGGTTTACGGGAGAACAGCAGCAACAGATCAGGTCGGGTGCCCAGGGTGACACGGTCGCTGAATCGTCCACAGTCACCTGGCAGGATTTTGACATCGCCATGACCGTTCCCGAAGCCTACTACGACAACAGGCACTACTGGTTCCGGATCGACACCTATGCGACCCCGAACACCGGCTATGTCAAAGGGAGAACGTTCTATTGCCCTGGATGTGAAGCAATGAAGTTGGCTGAGTGCTACGCACAAGCCCTCTTCAAGCCGACCGGAAACGGGTATCCTGGACACTGCATTGGGTGCGCACACACTTCAGCTTTGAAGATGCAGCATCAAATCGGCTCCTTTAATGACTTGGTCTCGTCCCAGAAGTACACCTTGGCTTGCGCAAAGCACCTTTATGACCTGAGGCTCCAATTCGTGGATCCTCGCGTGGACATCAAGGAGTTCCTCAAAGTTTGTGCGGAGATGGTCTATGAAGACATCGGCAAGACGGTTTCTCACTACGGTGGTCTCCGAATCACAGCCAGTCAGGCCATCGAGTACGCGGCATGGGGAAAGGCCAAACAGTTGGCATGGGACAGAGGGTACGACTCCGAAGGCAAGACATGCTACATCTGCTACTACGATGCCGGGAACTGCGCTTATGCTGGTTTCATGAGAATGCTTTTGACTCCGGAAGAGCGCCAAGAATGCTACAGAGGGTCAGTCTTGCCCAAGGAAGAGCTCCTGGGTGACACGGTGGAGCTGGCGCTCGGGCTTCTTACAATTGCAATGAGACACCCAAGTCATTTTCCGAATTGGGGTGGCCTTGAGGGAGCAAATGCGTGCGCGAGGGGAATCGAAAGATCATTCTTCCGCTACGCGTCGGCCGAAGCTATCGAGCTGATCACGGTTGACTCCCCGCGCAAAAGGACACCGCCCAAGAAGAATGAAGCAGTCGCTGAGATCGTCAACAACATGTCCGCTGACCTCGTGATTGATTTCACAGTGATCGTCGATGGTGATATCTACCCTGTAGAGATTGCGAGAACCGACGAGACACAGGCCGCTGACAACGTCACGGACGATCCAGGGTTCTCAGTTGCTCCACCAATACCTGCACAGGATGTAGATGTGGATGCGCAACCCGAAGAAGAACAAGGTGCAGAAGGCCCTGATCCCAGGCATGCAATTCGTGAAGGATTTGTCGCGCAGCTTCAGGACTATGTGGGAGTACTCGCTCAGGGCGAAATGTCGGTCGGAAGCGACCGCCTCACGTTCTGTGTCGCTTGTGGCAGTGATCTACACACTCTGTCCAATTGCACAGAAAATGCTGCGACCCGGGATCTGGTACTTCGAGGCGTCCAGATTATCAAGGAAAGCCTTCTTCGATATCCACGTCGAGTACCTCCACAAGAGGCTGAGCCAATGGACGTTGACACCACAGACCATGTGAGTGTTGCATCCTCGGACCGACGACCCAAGGCCAAAGCCCGACCGCGACGCGGAGGCGAAGCCGTACGGGGTGATGTGGTCTTGATCCGTTATGAGAACAAACACAATCTCTGCACGGATGTGGAGAACCGTCGGGGCCTACATGATGCTTGTGGCGTACCACTGCAGGAATCGGGACCAGAGAATAGCCAGCGAGTGGTGGACCTCATTGAGCAGCTTTCGGACCATCGCGACCGACGCCTACCTCAACGAGGAGACCGTCCTAGCTTTGCTTACGATGATACCACTCATAGCTACACCAATGCAGGCTACGAATCCATCGGCGGCGGAAGGCCAATCCGGTGCGGGATTCTCGACCTGATCCCAACCAAGGGTGCAAGCTTCATCAACAATCGATGGGACCTCGTGAACGAAGTTGTCCTTCGCGACATCACCCGTCAGCGCAGACTGAACGCGGATTGGGCGCTATCATGCATCCAATCTGACCTGCGCCACAGAATCGCCAGGCGCCCAGGCTCGGAATGGCTTGACAACAGGTGCCAGGTGGCATTCAACAGTGTCATCAAATGTGATGAAGGAGGGTGGGTGATGATCGAAGATTTGGTGAGGCATGAGCCACTATGGACCCATGAAAGCAGACGCATCACCGAAGCGGTCTCAAGGACCGATGACCCAGACCCCCGGGCGGATCTACTTTCTAGATCCACATTTGTGTGCGGATCTACTTTTGCACAGGGGGTTCTAGAAATTGATGGTCGCTGGAAAATGCCGTTCTTGGTAGGTCTTGTACAAAAGTAGCCAAGAAGGCTCTGCATGCCAAAAATTAATCATTTGGCTCAAACAGTGCGGGAAAGAAAAAAAAAAAGAACCCTAAGGCCCTAAAGCTCAAAACCTTAATATACCCGACCCTAAAACCAGGATGCAGGGGCAAAAGTATACAAATAGAAACCCATATATACAATTATCGCAAATTAAACGAAATTTCAGTGGCAGTTCGGATGAGTGGGGGCGAGAGAATTTAGTCCTCTACTCGAAAGAGATCGCTCATGTGGCATTCCACGAATCCCGAACTTTTCGTTGTCGTCGTCGTCGTCGTTTATTCGTCGTCATGTCACATGCAGTTGCTGTCGTTGCGAAAGCCGTGGCCGGCAACTGCTCTGGCTGACAGGGGCAGAAAGGGTCGGGAAAGGGTTTGCAAACTGGGCTTTGGACTTCACTGCAGGTTGCACGTATTCCCTGGGTTTCAAGCTCAATATATTCATCCTGTGGATCTGCTGAACTTAGATTTTCCGGGTGATTCAGATCAGGCTGCAATTCGCTCTGTAGGGGCCTTGTAGATGTTACAGCGGGGACCCTTGCCTACAAACCCCGACGAACACAAACCCCGAAAACCCAGTCGAGGTAGTAGTCGGTTGCCGTTGTCGTGGTACACTTCAGGAATAACCTGGGCTCCGGGTCCAAGTAATTCAGCTTCGGGCTTTATTTCAGGGCTGCAGTTTCGCAATGGCGAAATCAAACATGAAGCGACCAGCGGCTCTGAAGAAGAGCACGGCGAAGCCGGCGGCGAAGTCGGCGGCGATGAAGAAGTCCCCGTCGACGGATGATGAGCCTCGCAAATCACGAGTGGGGTTCAAGAATGCGGGCACGTTGGCGGAGTCTTTGAGTCCTTTCGTTGAGAAGAGATTCTTCACGAATTACACCACTGATCGTGCGATCAAATCTATGGACAAGAAGAAACTTTGTTCTTCGTACACTGGGATTTACAATTAGCACAACCTTCTGGAGTTTTCTTGGTCCGGTTAGAACTAAGAGGCTTTTCGTTTGCATTTCTGCTAATACAATTGAGCATCGGATATTTCGAGGTTGTTTCAGGGCATCCTCAACAGCTGCAGACAGCTGAGCCCCACGTGGAACTTTCCGGATACTGTTATCAAGAAGGCATTGCTAGCGATATTGAAGAGGGAGGACTGGAGCTACGAAGATTTTGCAACTTTTTCTAGGTCCTATCCTGAAACTACCGAGATCGTGAGTGCTATTTGTCATAAGTTGCTAATATAGTGGGAGGACAAGCAGCACTTGGCCGAGCAGATTAAAGAGTGCGATCGGGATGCATGGTCAACAACCAATTCCTTGAGACTCAGTGCCGCATTCCGACATTATGCCCAAGCTACTCTTCGTGGAAGGGATTGGGTCCCAAAGGCACCATATGTCCTCGTATATTTAGGATTCTCTGCGGTTTCTGGAGGACTTGTTTTGTGTGTGTATTTTAGCTGACCCCTTCAGGCGCACAAACCCTTGAAGAGATTGCCTTCGGATATGCCTATTGGACGTAGGAGGGTCAAGGGAAAGCAGCCAGACAGGGCAGCGAAAGTGGAGGGCAAGCCTGCTGAACAGCATGATCTTATGGAGGAAGGGCAGGAAACCCATGATGGTTCTGATGCAGGCCAAACCAGCGACGGCACGGCAAGTAGCAGCACTACCAGCAGCAGCAGCAGCAACAGCAGCGACGCTTCGCAAGCTGTCAACCAGCAGGCACAGGAACCACAAGTGCCAAGCGGTCCTGAAAGCAAGCCCCGGCAGCAGCATCCACAGCAGCTCAGCAGCAGCCCGCAAGTCAATGCCCAGGAACAAAGCAAGTGCCAAGACCAGAATCCGTTGAAGCAAAGCGGCAGCAGCAGCATCAGCGGAAGTCCGCAGGGTCTATCTGACGTTTGGATGATTTAGCCTTGCTGCTCCATTGTAGAAATTGAGTTCATTCCACAAACTTGCATCGCGAGAATTCCCGAACTTATAATGACTATATTGTTATACTTACAACTCCGGCCTAGCAAAGATCCCGCAAAGGAAGAGGCTGCCGCCTTCGTCCGCAGCGATTGGTTCCTCAATACCTTGGAGGGCATGATGGGAGGAGATCTGGGCCAGGATCCATCTACGAGTAGTGCGAGTTACTCGGCTTTTGTCTTAAATAAATAGTATGGAGTCGGTGTTGAGTCGTGAGCTTCAAGCTTTCGGATTTCCAGCCAAAGGCTTATATAATTGGTTAGGGCTTAGGGTAGTCAGGGTCAACGATTCGTGCTGGGCTCCTTGATGGTTTGCGGGCTTGGGAAGGCTTGCTAGTGCAGGGGCTCAAAACTCCGAAGGATTTATTGCTCTGTAGGGCCAGACAGTGCAGCCCTCCATCCGCTTGATTCTAGATGTCAGAGATCCGTTAAGCCCTTTAAGTTTTATGCATGTCGCCGTGCCATGGCGAACCTCTGGGTACATCAGCATCTGAATCTAATGATCTCGACGACTCGGAAGCTTGGTTGACGGAGCTGCTGGCTTACGGCAGAGAGAGACAACGACGGAGACCCTCGCAGTCTGCATCAGAATAATCATGTGTGTGTGTGCATATATGTGGGTATCCCTTCAGGGAAGGGTTTAGGGCCTAAAGTTTAGGGTTTAGGGCTTAGGGGCTAATTGCATCTAAGAATTGGTGGCACCACCAGACCATCTCGAAGTCCCGCTCGTTCCCATTGCCGCACGTCCTCCGGGTGCTGTTTGGGAGATGAATGGTTCAGTCGTTCGTTGTGTTTCCGATAATTACTGGAAGCTTCGAGTGCCAAAACACCTGGCTGAGCTACCTCGCTTGAAGGGCTTGATCCAAGATATTATGGCCGAGCCTTGTTTGAAGCTTGACCTGTTGCCTTCGCAATCACTAGCGAGCAAAATACTTGAACGTGCGAACCTCGTGATCCGGGGCCTGGCTTCCAGCTCCTACTTTAAGATCGGCTTGACAAGCAATCCTGTTCATAGATGGAGCAACGATGGCTATGGCTACTTGCACAGCTCCAACCCTTCCTGGAATGAAATGAGAATTGTTGGTATTCTTGCCTCTGGAGAAGCTGCTGGGTTTCTAGAAGCAGCCCTGATTGACCGATGGCAACGGGACAATCGCTGCACAAATTCTGCTAGTGGCGGCGAAGGCATTTCGACTCAGGAAGGTCCGTTCTGTGTGTACGTGGTAGTGTCCACAAGATGATGCTGCCTGTGTTATAGCTGCAACCCGTGGCCTGTCCCACGCTGCAAAAAAAGGACGGCCTCGAAACTAAGCCTTCTTAAAACCAAGCTCTAATGATTCTGATGCCCAATTCTAAAGCTTAAAATGCTCAACACCCTCAATATCCCACTAAATTTCAAAGCCTAGATCCCGAACGACCTGAAGCCCGACCCTCGAACCCCAAACAAAACCTCACCCTAAACCTAAAACCGTGATCGGAAGCAAGATTCTTTTTTTGCACAATCCTCTCAGGCTACCTTTCTCCGACTCCCGGTCCTCCTCGGCGACGAGCAGCCGAGACAGCGAAGCAGGAGGAAGCCTCGCCGAAGACTCCGAAGCAGACCCTCCTTAAGTTGAAACCAATGGACCCCGACGAAGGCGACGACAAGGACGACCAGGCCGACAAGCCCAAGCCCAAGAGAGCCAAGAAATCCAGCGACGCCCAGAAGAAGGAGAACGCCGACGCCGAGAAAAAGAAGAAGGAGAAGAACCCCAACGACACCGACGCCGAGAAGAAGGAGAAGAAGCCCGACGATGCCGACGCCGAGAAGAAGGAGAAGAAGCCCGACGATGCCGTCGCCGAGAAGAAGGAGAAGAAGCCCGACGATGCCGAGAAGAAGAAGGAGAAGAAGCCCGACGACGCCGACGCCGAGAAGAAGGAGAAGAAGCACCACGACGCCGACGAGAAGAAGGAGAAGAAGCCCGACGATTGCCACAAGAAGAAGGAGAAGAAGCCCGACGACGCCGACGCCGAGCATGACGAGAAGATGCCCGACGATGCCGACAAGTCCAAGGAGGCTGCTGGCGATATCAAATGGAATCCGGAGCTGGGGAAGGCCTGCTGGCAAAAAAAAGAAGGGGTTATCATTTCATCCGTTCCTTTCGTCGACAAGGATGATGAGGTTAAGGTCTCGTTCGGTGGCTTGTTATGGAGTGTTCCTCATCTCGTACCCAGTGATCTCGATTCCTCTATGCCACCAAAGAATCCCATGCAAACCCAAACCAAAGTGAAGGCCGTGCCGAAAGCCAAACAACTGAAACCCGTGGACGATTATATCTACCCGATCATCCGCTGCAAGTACTGCACACAAGGCTCCAAGAACCCCTTGATCAAGATCGAGGTACGAGAAGATCGCCACAATCTGCGGTCCAAGTGGGTGCAGAAGCTGCAGCTGGTTGTGAAGGACAACCTCAGTGTCCAAAAGGCAATGCACATTGCCAAGAGCTTCGCCGATTCCTACGTGTACATGAACCTCAATCCCGGTCAGTTAAACTTCAGGGGCTGTAGGGAGTCTCTGCTGGCTCACGAGCACGACTGGGAAACATCGGCTTTGGATTGGCAAACCATCAACAAGCTTGGCCTCAAGCACTTCCCGAACTCGCAATTCAGCTATGGTTTGTGTAAGCCTTTCCTAGTTCAAAGAAGCTTATTATTGGCTACCCACATGATCCCTGCATGTAACATACATGCTTCCTATATATACATGCAAACCATCTCATACTTCATGCATTCTCGTAGACGCATGGTCGTACGCACGCAGACACACTCACACACACACACACACACTCATTCCTTCATCATGCATACATATATACATACATACATATATACGTACATACTTATAGATGCATCTATACTAATCTATACATACACACATACATACATACATACATACACACATACATGCATGCATACATACATACATAGATGCATACCTACATACCCGATCCCAGGCCGCACGATTCCCCTATCAAGATGCAGAGGGTGGCGAAGACCCAGATCGCGAACGATGAGGAGAAGGCGGTGGAGGGAGATGATGCTGATGATGGTAATGACAATGAAGAAGCTGACGAAGAAGAAGAGAACACAGATGACCCTACAGTAGATCCGGGGGAGCTTCACGAAGGCTCCTAGACTGATTCTTTCCGGTGCTTCAATTAAATACTATGGACTTCAGATATCTAACTATACAAAACCCCAAAGCAAAACACAAAACCCTAAACCCGCAAATCAGATTCCCTAAGCCGGAATTACATATTCTGGCCTTTGATACCTACAAACCCCTAAACCCATACCCCAAACCCTAAATCCCAAAATCACAAAAGCTTAAACTTCTCCCTGTACCCTGAATCGCTCAGGCTTCGCACGCCTTGGTTCGGCGGCCTCTGAGTTGTTGGAAAACGAGGACTAGCCCAGACGCTTAAACTACCCTTTAGCATACACCACAAGCCAATCCCGATGCCCTGAAACTTTGTCCCATGCAGCGAGACTCCGAAGAGCCTGTGCATCAATCAGTTTGCCACCACAGACCATAGAATCTTAAGGCTTAAGGTTGAAGTATGGTAGGGTAGGGTCATTCAGGTTCTAGGAGTCTAGGTCCAGATTCTTGGTGTTTATGCAGCTACGGTATGTGCCCTTATTACGCTAGCCTCTCGATCTTATCTTACTTGGGTATCAGCCATACATAATAGTCTGGGTGGCCGTGCAGGCTTGGATGAAGCATCGTGCGATTTTCCTTAGTTGCAGCAGCTGAGCACGGAGCTACTTCCCCACGAACACCTATATATACGGTCCCCACGAACACCTATATATACGGTCCTTTGCTTATGTTCAATGCACTAACCTCAAAAGCCTGGCCCCATCGTCTCCGTCGATATAAGCAGCTGCCCTTTTGCCGACACTTTATGCAGGAAGAAATTTCTGCTTGATCTGTAAGATGAGCTCCAAGGCTTCTGGGATGACTGTGTGCACGTTGCTCAGATGTTTTAACTTAACGATTGGAGTGGTGCCGCTGAGTGTACTATTGTGTAACACACACCATTCAATTTTATCGGTATGTCATCGTGGTTCTTTGAAAAATAGCCCACCGCCCGAACTAATCAATACTCCTAATCTTTAAAACCAAATCATCAGTCCTTATATAGCACTCTCGACCCGGGTCGCTATATGCAAGAATCATAGGTTTTGGATTATCGCAGCCCAGAAGCCACGCAGCGGGGCCGCTGTAGAGCCACGTCCAGACTTTGAAACCAACCTTTTCTAAAAACCCTAAACCCTTGAATATACACGCCCCTATATGAACCCTAAGCCCAGGCCCCTATACTCGATCTCTGATTAATCCCCCCACCTACACCGCCCAGGCCCTCGGGATCTAGAGCCTCGTAGTGCTGCGACCTGTCATTGCTGGCTCCATAAGTAGAACCTTCGCCCCTGATTTCTTGCATTCTAAAAACTGGATCCCATATAGAACTGGCTACACTGCTTATTATATAGGTATAAATATATATATATATATATATAAGAATATATGTGTATATATATATATACATATCGTGTTTGGGTCTGGAATTGGAGCCCCCCCTAGTCGTATATTTGCATTCTACTAACTGGATCCATATCTAGTTGGGCCCTGAACCATATATACAAGCCCCTAAACCCTAAGCCTAAGTCCTGAATCTTCCACGAATCCTCCCGCCTGACAGCTGTACACCCAGGGTCCTGGGATCTGGAACCTTGTAGTGCTGCGATTCTGTCATTGTTGGATCTAAAAGTAGAACCTTCATTTGTCTAGTGGATCCACAAGTAGAACCACAGCTATAGTCTATGCTTGCATTCTAAAGATTGGATCCTGTATATCTATATATGAATATATATAGTCTGGACTATACGATATTAATAACCCATATATAATATATATATGCTATATATATAGCTATAGCTAACAAAATCAACGACTTATGGCTGGATCCAGATTTACCCATGGGTGGCTCTACTTTTGCAGGCCTCGTGGTGTCCCAACAGCCCACCAGGGGTTTTTAAGACTAGCAGTCGTACGTCTTGCAAAATCACAAAAGCCCCGATATCGTGCTGCTCTTCGAGTAGCCTAGTACCGTGTGTCGATGTTAGAGTAGCAACGTACCAAAGCGCCGATTTGGTGTGAATTGTGCTGATCTACCGGCAAGAGTGCCAGCGAAGAGCTGGGGCCGACAATGAGGTATGGAAGTGGATCCCCGATGAGCCCCCCGATGAGCCCCATTAGGACGTCATACGTGCTGTCTGCTCCTATAAGTAAGCAACGCAGAGAATGAGGTATCAAAGTAGATCCCCGATGAGCCCCCCAATGAGGTATGATGAGGTGTTCTGGACCCAGAAGATACACAAAGTCGTGCAATCTAGACCAATTGTAGCTAGTGTTGCGATCACGCAGACTCAACCACTGAACTCGAGGTTCCACTTCTATGGCTATTGTCTCGATCCGATGATGTGTGTTTGTGATGTATACATATCTCGAGGAAAGGTACAGGAAGGCCTAGGCTAGGGTAGCTGGGTAGATCTCTTTTTGCTGTGCCAGAGCACGGCATGATGAGTGCTATGGATAGTCGGGAGACCCTGACCGCCGAGACCCTTGTTGATGCCCCCCAAGAGGCTGAAGCGCCCGCCGCAGCTCCATCGCCGATAGCGACCGCCAGTGCAGCTCCATCGCCGATGACCTCCGAGTCCGAAGCCCGAGCAATCACGAACTATGCTTCACACTACAGGAGAGATCCGAAAGATGTTAGCATCGAGATGGTTCGGGCTTCCGCCGAAGGGGCTACGCACTGGGCGACTGTAGGTCTGGACTTGACCGCTCGCTCTCCCTTGGGCCAAAGTATGAACCGTGCCCTAAAGCACAAGCCGGACGTGAAAGCCATGTACGGCCTCATGCTAGACCAGTTTAAGGGGGAGTTCAGAAGAGCCTGGGCTGTTCAAAAGGACTTCGAGTTCGTTCGTACGGTGAAAACCACGGAGAACAGCTTCAGGAAGAAGCGGGAGGATTTGGGAACCTACAAGACCGAGCTTCAAATCACCCAGCTGCTTGGGGGCACCGATCAACCAGCCGCCGTTGAGCAAACCCAGAACTATATCAAGATGTGCACCAGAGAAGACCTCAAGGACCATAAAAAAAACCCAGTAATCTCCGTTATTCATGGTAAGCTCCCAACAAAACCCCGAGTCTAGCCCAATAAAAGTCCCAAATCCGAGATTATGGGTTTTCTCCCGCCCACTAAACCCCTTAAGCCCTTAAACCCCTAAACCCCTAAAGGCCCTAAACCCCGAAACCCTATAGCCTACCACACCCCTATGCAGGAGTACTGTGTGTGCTTCAACTCGTGGCTGAAAGTTGACACCTACTTGTGGGTGGAGCACCTGATCAGCACCAGCAACCACCAGGAGTGGCGATCCACGGTCTCCGTGGAGTGCACGGAAACGATCCCAGGGTCGTGGGCCGAGAAGGTCGAGATCTCCAAGGCTATCCGCTGCTTTGCCGTGGAAAACAACGCCAGACTGGTGGACGTCAAAGAGGATGATGTCAGGAACTCCGAGCTCGGAGTGGCCGGGTATGCCGCTCTGTTTGACAAAACACCGGCGGCAGCGCCGAAAGCGGGAGGGGACGGTAGCAATGCCAGAGGAGGCAAGGGTAAGAGGACCACGCCGGTGGAGGATGCCGGTGCTGGTTTGGCGGACGGGGAGCCTGCAGCAGGGACGAATGGTGGGGAGGAGCCCAAGGCCAAGAAGGCACGCAACGGAGCCAACGTTCTTTCCTCGAAGAAGGAAAAGGAAGTGAAAGAGCTCCTGGCACAGGAGCAAAGCTCGGACAATACCATGTCCGTGCTGACGGTGCAAATGGGCAAGGGCGACGCCTCTTCATGGGCTTGGGCAAGTGGGTTCGTGAAGAACTACAAGGATTGCCGGATGCAGGTGCTCCAGCTCTACGCCGATAATCCCTTCTTCCAATCCATGAAAGTGGCCGTGCTTTCCTCTAAGGAGCTGCAGAAAGTCAAGAAGGATTACAAGGATCTATATGTCCCGAAGTTGTGCGATTTCGTGAGCATGCTAGGCCCTAAAATCCTTGCTATGGCAGAGGCTAGTGCCCAAATCCAGTTGATGGCTGAAGCCAAGCAGAATGCTTCCGAGTCAGCCAAAGCTACCCCTGGACCCAAATCTAAGGCTAAGTCCAACAAGGGCCCCAAACGAGCGGCCTCGCAGGCAAGCCTTGCTTCCGCTTAGAAGGCCCACGCCTTGGGTTTTCGATTCAAATCTTCAAGTTTCGAGCTTGCCGGGTAGTGCCACAAGCGGAACATGTGGATCGCGGGCTCAAGTTTGGGATAAGTTGTTCTTTTTTAGGGCTCGGGTTTAGGATAAGTTCGTGTTTAGGGCCTGGGTTCGGGGATTAGGATAAGCTCTTGGGCTCGAGGGTTAGGGCTCACCGTCCGGAATGGGATAAGCTGTTTTTTTTTAGGGCTCACGGTCCTGGGTTGGGATAAGCTACTGTATTTTAGGGCATAAGTTCGGGTCGTTTCACGCTTAACGCCTTGTGGTCAAAGGTTCCCTTCTAGTCTAGGGGTTTCCAATTAAGCCTAGTTTATTGCAACTGATCCCATGTGCTGCTTGTGTGGCTTGGGTCTCGTGTACAGTGTCGTCTCACACAAAACAGCTTGTGCTGAGCTTCTTGGAGCAACGAGCAGCAAAGGTGCGGGGAAATACGCCTCGAAAGTTTAGCTGCCGATGCAACAACATGATCGCTTCGAGTTTGGGCCATGCAGACGCCTAGAGGATTGCTTCGAGTTTGGCTCACGTACGAGCGACCCGTGTATGTATGTGTGATAGAAACATATGCATGGTAAAGGTATTCCTTTGCATGGAATCTAGTCGTATGCTCCTTTATATAATCACAGGATCTAGACTTCTGTACATACTGTCTGCACACTGTGTGTACTTTTCGCTAGGGCCAGGCCAATCACTTACTGCTGCAGCTCGTTTATTCTTGTATCTACGTAAGTGAGACCGACCATAGACCATGATGGCATGTGTGTCGCATGAGCTTCAAACGTGCTCGTGCTGCAGAGCAAAGCAGGGGTTCCAGTTTTGCCGTGCCCGATGCATTTCAGGACCCCTTGGTTGATGAAGGTTCGAATTCCGAGGCTGCTCAGAAATTCCGACGTCTGCTGATTGAAAAATATTTGGATGGGTCTGCCACGGCAACGGATACCTGCCAGCTTGCTTACTGGCACAACGAATCAGGAGGCGAAGGTGCTGAGGATCTGGCTTTGAACCCTCGGACTGCTACACGCCATGCAGCTGAACATTTGAGGTTGGGGCCTTTAGCAATAAGTGCTGTATTTCTGCAAAACTTGATTGTATGGGTGCCCCAATAAAATGCTAGCCTAAACCCTCGACCCATCATTACACCATTGAGTTCCCAATTTGGCTCTCGTACTCTGCCCCAGGTGTCATTTGGCTAAAGAGTTCCCGGAACCTGATGTGGAGATGGTTTCTGTTCCGATGTATTTGAAGAAAGCCGTGGGGAGGACCATCGTGCAGCACCCCACACGTGTCGCTTCGATCATGATACGCAATGAACTAAAAGGTCTGGGTATCCTTGGGTCTGACGCTGAGCTGTCTTCCGCTGCTGTGCAAGACTTTCTAAAATCCGACGAAGAATTAGGGGATCTGTACGAACGCCATTGCATCACAATCGAAGCCCTTCGCCAGGGTTTCAAACGAGAACACATTGTGCCGCTGTCCGTGTACTTTGACGGAGTCCAGTATTCCAAGAATGAGAATTTTTTGGGATTCTATATCACCAATCTACGTACAAAAAAGCAAAGGTTGGTTTGGCTGCTGAGTACCTCGACAGCAGGCAGAAACCTGTACGTGTTATTTAGGTAAGTTAAGTATGCTTGTATGTTGTGCATGCATGTTTAGTATGTATATGTATATCCATGTCTAGGTTTTTGTACGTGTCTGGGTCATATGTAGGTAGAATAGGTGTAGGTTAGGTGCATGTGCATGCGAATGTTTATGTACTAGATGTATGTACGTGTAGGTAGATTGGATGGATATATATACATATAAATAGATGTACGGTGTGTATGTGTGTGTATATATATATATTGTGAGAACGAGCAAAGCAGGATTATCGGAGCTTTGTGGCTGTGGCTGCCGTGGCTGGTGTTCCGTGTTTCCACTGTTGGATTCATTCAGGCGAGATTTGACTGAAAAGCATGCCGACTTGAGATTAGCGGTCATAGACTTCAAAGCTGATTGGGCTGCACTGGTCGAGATAGCTGCTTTGAGAACATGGTCACACAACTTGCACGCCTGCCCTTGTTGTTTGGCCAAAAAAAGCGAGATGGACAACCTCGACGGCTTCAGTGCAACAACGTCTGCATTCACGCCGTTCGATAAGGACCAGTACGAAGCGACTTTGGTCAACAATTTCAAGGACCTTTGATTCCGAATAACCTTCTCCGCTAAACCTTAAGGAAGCTTGTATGTCTTGATGCTTGCGGTTATGTTATCGTGCTTGCTACTGCTGGATTTATTGAAGATTCTAGGTTCTAGACAATGTCACACCGGCATAGACAAAGATGTGTCTGTAGTTGGAAGGAAGTCACGGTTCCTGATGAACATGTTCGACGGCAGCTGGCGAAACTTCTGTGTTTTCGAAATAAGAAAGGCCGTGGACGATGTTTGCAGGCGGCTTTCCCTCAGCTGGGTCTTCCGAAAATGGCAAGATTGGAGCCTTCGACAAGATTACCTGATGTGGGGTCGTTCGAATATCAAGAGTGTCCATTTGATTGCATTTTTTTCGTGGGTGGCCAGCACGCCCGTGTCTTGCACATGTCTCCTCTGTTACAAATCCCCGGGGTCACTTTGGCTTCTTGGTCTATCGACCTCTTGCATTCCTGGCACTATGGACCTCTTTCTACATATCTGACATTCGTTCTTCGTGCTTTGTTGTCCACAGAGATATACAAACCCGGAAACACAGCGATTCTGGACAAGGAAGAAAACGACAAATTGTGTTTGATGGCACTGAAAGCAGAGCTGTGGGTGTACTACAAGCAAAGACGTGCTAGCGATCCCGAATGGAGCAGGAAAGGTTCGGAGGTGGGGTAGCAAACGACCAATAGAACAATATTGTTTTTTGGTAAGAATCTAATCCATGACCTATATCCATAGCTACCGTATATACAACTGTTAAAAGCTTAAGCTGTTTTGTACAGCTGGGTGGATTCTATTGTCCCCTAGACCGCTAATGCTCATATACTTCGTTTGGCTGCAGGTCTGGAACTTAAGCCTCACGATGCTTGCCGAGAAAGCATTGAAGTGCAAAGCTGCCGAGACACATGGATTACTTCGCTTTGTTGTTTTGACACTGGACAAATACAAGACAATCCTGCAGGGCTGTGAGCAGTCGTCCATGTTCGATCTGCTGCTTCGGGCGGGAAAGGCAGCTGAAGCTTTCGATAAGGTTATGGCTGATCACACTCGGGTGCTTCCTGGAAGTGCATGCGATGCTTTGCATGCAAACTATCATCGCTTCATATGGCTTTGCTCAAGGGCTGGTGTGCCTCTGCTACCGAAAGCACATCTTATGTTCCACCTCGTGGCTCAGGCCCGTTTGCGAGGCAATCCCCGGTGCTACTCAACCTACATCGATGAGAGCTACAATGGTACCATTGCGAAAGTGTGCCGTTCAGTTCATAGGCGAAACTGGGCTATGGCGGTTTACAGGAAGCTGGAAATGCTCGAGAGCATGCTTGCTGAAGAGTTCTGAATTGCAGACGTGTCGCTTACACAGGTTGCAGCTTCGCCGCATTATTCCCGCAGCTCTGCAATCCTCGAAATGCAACAGACCCGATGGTTTCCTGTTAAATCGGCATCCCCGTAGATTTCACGCGGTTTTGTCAAACAAGTTCCTATATAATGATGAACGATAACCGGCCCGAGGCATGGATGGGTGCGATCGAACCCTTCTGGCCGAGCTTCTCGGTTATGCTTTCAGTCCTAGGTTTAGGGGCTTGGTGTTCAAGCGAAGGATGACCACACGCTTTGCTTTTTTGAAGACAAATTTAGGGTTTAGGGTCGGGGGTGTAGGGTTTAAGGTCTCGGGGTGTGAAGTTTAGTTTAGGGGTTTGGGCTCCAGGGCTTGGAAACAAGATTCTGGGAACAGGTTTCCGGCTTGGGGTTTTAAGGGTTAGGGTTTCGGATTCAGGGCTTTAGATTTAGGTGACCAACCCTGACCCAACAAACCTGAACGGTCTGAAGCTCCAAAACCTCGAACCCCACCTTTGATCTTAGTTCTACACCAACAAAGGACCGTGGTTTTGGTGGTCGGATGGGCCGAACAAACAAAACACGAGTCTTGGTGGTTTCCTAGTATTTTTTTGAGATTTGACGGGCACTGCTGGGTCGGCTTAGCTCGTCTATAGGCTTGTCGCTCTGATTCCCGCAAACCACAAACAATTAAGGAGATGCTGGATTCTCGATGGTGCAGATGCCGCTTCACTTAGTGTACAGTACATCTCCCACAGAGCAGAGCTTTCGAACTTTCGTAATATCTATAATCATATAATCTATTCGTGGGTGGACTCTTCTCAAAAGTCTGTAACCCATGTCACTTAAATAAAGCTCAAAGAGCCCTGCCAAGAGTCGAGATCGTCGCGGATCACCGATGACCGGAAAGAGCCGGGAGGGTTGGAAGGTTTAGTTAAGGGTGTCGGATTACAGGGATTAGGGTTTAAGGTTTACGGGTCTTGGTGATATTTAGAGTTAAGGGTTTAGGGGTTATGGTTTAAGGATTCGGGCTTCGGGATGTTTAGGGTTAAGGGTTAAGGGAAGAGCTTAGGGTCGGAGGTTTAGGGTTTAGGGGTGTTTAAGGGTGTAGGTTTAAGGTTTCGGGTATTCTGGCAATGGAAATCCCAAAGTCCCAAACCTTCTGTCGTCACGTCGAATATCCTCAAGCCCAAAGCTTCTGCAGTAATAAATCCAACACATATGTCTAGCTGACCCAAGCTTTTGCCCCCAAAGGCCCAACTCACAAGAAAATATCAACAAGTCATAATCTGATGGGGGTCTGAGGCATTCAACTCAATCCTCGCGCTTTAGTCCGGAAGTCGGTATGCAACAGGGTTCGCAGGGTTCCCTCAACCCCCAAAACCCGATAGATATAGAGAAGCACCTAAAATCACCTAAAGCCTTTCAAAGCCAACACACCCGAA